TACTAACTGGTGTAGATTTATTCCAATAAGCGAACCTTTTTCAAATGTTTTCATCACATTCAGCGAAAAAACATTGAGACATGAGTATCAGATTGCTATAATTGGGATTATTTAGTCATATTGAAAGAAAGAATATTGAACGTCGTATGATTACTCAGCGCTTCACAATTTAATTTAAAGTTATAAACCTTTAAAAAATGAATGATCAGGAACCTGAAATACGCGCAAATATTAATATTAACAAATTATAACTTTATAAAGCTTAAAGTATGAATTAAAATGATTAGAAATATTAGGAACGGTACACAATATAAAACTTAGTAACTTTTTTTAAGTTTATAATATTCGACATATTTTAAGATTATATTAAAAAATTATTGAAATATCGAAAACACATAAAAACATGGCTTAAAAAAGTTCTAACAAATGAAAATGACAATAAAACATCCACGCATTTTATCGAAAGTTATAAAGGTTTTGTTACTTGTAATATGTTTTATCTGCCCCCTGGAATTAATGTTTAGAACCTTGTTCCCAAGGTTTGAAAAACATCCGATTGTTGTCTATTACTCGTATTTACCTGCTGGATTTTTTAATCCGGTGGACAGTCCATCTAGAAAGGCCCTCCTGGATGAAGTTACAGAATCATCAACCCATACTTTACTTGTAGTGTGTCCTGCATTTACCCACGTTTCATCAAGGTAATAAATCTTCCTGTTTTGATTTCTATATTTCCCAATTTTTGTTAAATAATCCCTCCTCCATAGCACAATTTCTTCTCTATCCAGTAGTAAACTATTACGACCCCGTTTTTTCCATTTGAAATTTAAATGCTTCAGTAACGCATGGAAAGTTGATCGTTTGAAATTTGGCAACGTTGTATCTCCATTTACCTCCTGCAGTACTTTATCTATAGTAGGTATTTCATTCCTAAAGAAGAATTCATGCACTTTCCTCCTAATCGCATGCTTATCAGCTTCATCCAATGATTTAACAATACTTTTGCGATGTTTACTGGTCATTGGCTCAGAAAAGGTGTGATTTCTTTTGTATTGTCTTAACACATTAAACACTGATGCGCGACACACCCCAACTTTGTGAGAAACCTTCACAACAATTTCTTTGATGGTTGATGCCTCGTTCTCCTCGCGCTCGATCTTATATAGATATATTCAAAATGACCTCTTTCATTTCTGCACTCAGGTGTCTTTTTTTAGAGCGTTTCCTAGGTGGACTACAGGAGTTTACAACTTATTTGGCAGTATCTGTACTACTGGGCATTTTGCGCAAGCAGTTGATAACAATAACAATCAATAACAAGGTATAACAATAACAACGACAAACTCAACAACTTAATAAGATAACAAACAAAAACGTCCAAAGAAATATCAAATTGCAATGATGCACACGACATACGTAACACGTCTGAACCTGAATGTGACTCTGCCTTGATACGACTGCTCTGCCGCTCGGCATAGGCATTTAATTGCGAATTGACCAATGAGGGCTCCTGTTTTACGTCGAGACGGCGGCGTTAGCGTGAAAATCACCCGAACCTTTTGTTTACATCCGGTCTATCTCTTATCTGAATATACTGTAGTGGAGCTCGAGTTCACTTTTTTCCTTGCTTCAGAAACTTGGGTTGCCGATTCCCTTTTTAGTTTAGTTTTGATTTCTCGAAGGACGCTATAATATAAGCCACTGATGTCAGAATTTGATAATACTTCATTCCCTGAGGACAACTTAAATGCTTAGGAAAAATAGCAGACGAAATTTGCTTAGGGCGCACTTCGTGCTTTTTACAAAATCAACTCCATTTTATTACATAGTAATTCAGCGCCACCTGTAACTTCAGTTGAAAAGAGGCAATGCATCTAGCGCCATCTACTGGTGAATTATAAAATAAATATACAGAAAACAGCTCCCAAAATGACAGCCAAACACAACGCATCCGCTAGCTGGCTGTACTACCATGTTATATAATTAAATCAGCGATGGCCGCAGTGGTAGACTCTTCGGTCTCCTGATCAGTCACCGTGCGCTGTGCGGGTTCGAATCCCGTCCCAGGAGAAATTTTTCTCTTGTCTATGGATGTTGTGATTGTCCGTAGGTGGTAGACGGTCTCTGACGCGGAGGTACGTCCGGGGGGCTCGCGTAGGCGAGGCCAGAATATGTGCATGTTGCATACATACGTGTTCCCTCGCCGTGTGGCGTCCCCTTTTACCCCTATAGCACCACTGTATCGCAAGGGTGTTTAGGCCTTAGGCCTTAGTGATAGTTGGAGTATAAAAAAAGTTAAAAAACCTTTAAACTAATCACCCACCCAGAAGCGAGATGTCATTTTTCATACATCGTGAGATTGAACTTGACCTACATAACTACAACAACCACATATTTCTTTCATGCTTGTAACAAATTAAGATAGCAAGTTTTGGTGTGAATACTGTATTTATGCATTGATTAACATGTTCTTCATGGTGTTGAGTCACCCACTTGTGAATATTTGCGGACGCATCCTCCCAGCCCCGTCTCGAGTATTCGTTTTCCTGTACTATTGACAGTTGATACATTTGTAGTGCTGCCAAGCTATGTTAATAACAATAGACACGAATAATATGTATTAACACACAAATGCTTGTTATTTTAACACATATTAGTTGAATCTAATAACATTTGTTTTTCAGTTCAATTAAAAGAGTCGAGATGGAGTGCAATTGATCAAGCGTTTATTTTGTGGATCTTCCGTGATTTCTGCCCCACGACTCTTCGTAGATATGATGTGGTGGTTGTGACTGGCCAAATGAGCTGATGAAACGAACAAGGCAGTTCTGATTTCAAATATAAGAGAAGTTTTCTTGTGCTCTTTCTTTTCTCCACCGTGCTGTAATTGAGTCATATTAATTAATCTAAGCATTATAAAAGATTTGATCCACGATTCGCGAGGGATTAAAGGGTCTCCTCCGATTGGCCAATTTTTGAACGAGTTTTACTAAAACGATTTCTAATTGGACATTGTTGATCCGGATCATAAGTCTTTATATCCGGATCAAGTGGAAACACATGTTTTTGTACCTAAACTAGGTGATTTATAAAAAACGTCTTGATTTGATTTGGGGATTAGAGGTCCTTCTTAGACAAACAGTATATTTTTTTGCTGGTATGATATTTTAGAAAAAATCGACAATATTTATAAGATCCATTTCTAGAAAGATGGCGTCGCATTGGTCCATTTTGATCCGAGTCAAGAATTTTGATCTCCTGTTTTAATTAAAAAACGATATATTCTAGTAAAAATAGAATTAACTAATATCGTATCCTTTTACAGCCAATGCTTTAGTGATTCTTAACCAGCTGTCGCATCGTAGGATCATAATTGACCGGCACGGGTATTACGGGTATTTCTTTGTGACATTATGTAGATATTTCCACAAGATGATGGACACGTTTGACATTGCGTGGGTTTTTCTACAAGATGTAAGCTTAACACAAGCTGTCACTTGTTGTGAACTCGTGTTGTAGTTGTACGTGTTGCCTAAACGTCTTGATGCTTCAATTATCAATACTTGGCTCTGATGTGCTGTAAAATCTGCTTCAGAGATGGCGTTACTGGAGGTCTAAGCTATAAGTTGTATAATGTATACTATAACTAGAAGGAAACTTCAATGCCTAGGTGCTTAGTGAGTATTTGTGTGTTAATAATATGTTGATGATAATTCCATTGGATTCCTGTCTCAAATACACTTACTTGACATTCAAAGCTAGAAATTAGTTGCATATCCACTATATCTTATTCATTCTGGACAGGTGCGAAAGTATGCTGCAGACAGGAATATTTATGAAAGTATTATTACATTATTTTTTATTTGCAGTCATTTAAATTTTATAGAGGTTTATTTTGCGATGCCAATAGAAAACACAAATCAGCGCCTAGATGTGAGGCATTGCGAAAATGTTTGATATGTGATGCGTCAATACCAATTTTCCTGTGATGTGGCTTAATTGCACACAACGCAGGCGCGGATGCGATTTCTCGTATGCTTCTAAAAGTTTTTGAAAATACAAAAAACTGGAAAAATCGTAATTTATAACTCTGAACCTCCTTTCAGAAAGGACAACATATAAATAAGCCGTCCGGCACAGCTAATAGATATATTTCATTGCCAGCATATCCAGTAATGATTTTCTCACACAGCAAATATCACTGATTTTATACACATGCAGACCAATAAATATAATCATCCAGATGCAATCTTGCTACTCAACCAACTTTCTCCTTAGAGATGAAAGTTACAGACTACTCTAGTTGAGTCATTCCACCATAGATGGACGCTCACAGCGGTCATAGCGAGCAAACGTGGAATGAACTATTTGCACCTTGCAAAAAGACATTTTATTGTTTTTTCTTTTGACGTTTTACAGGTTTTTACATAATACCCGTTCCCTTTCTCGTCCCGCATCCAACACTGCTTCTGTCATAGATTCAAAAACTTTCCTGCACAGTAAATCATATTTTTATATATTTTATAAATTATTTTTTTTTTCTCGAATTGTTAAGGGGGTTAGATGGTAGAATAGATATATAATCTAAATCTCGCCTCCTGTAAGAATATTACAAATAAAAGACGTTAATTTTTATTATTATATTTGCAGCTCTGTGAGTGATAGGTAGAGCTGCGAAGAAGAAGATTGGTAGTGACTGCGGGCCAAATTCCTAATGGCAATAATTTTGTTTAGTGATATGGCCCTTAGATACAGTGCAGTACTTTAAATGACAAGACAGGTGACTAAGCGCATATCTGATTGTGATGGATGTACGAGCATTGTCAAGAAGCTACTTATTTCAGCTTGTCGGAGTTCAAATTACCGAAGGCGTGATTTGGCACACACACGTTTTGTCAATTATGACAGCTGTTTGAGTGGGAACTGGGATATCTGTTAAGAGCTAGAGACAAAATAGATCATCATTGGATTTGAGCAAAATATTACAACTAAAATAAGAGTATATGATCACTGAAAACATTTATTATATAAAAAAATATTTACACTAAGCACTAAGTTTAAATAAAATTATAAATATCTATCACAACGTCACGAAAATCCATACTTCACAACCTTTGACGATCCATACTGTACATCAAAAGTATGGCTGCCGCCGGCCTGATGTACGATAACATCAAAGTATGAGCATTTCACGTATTTAACAAACATATAATCAATGACATAATTATTGCGTTGCCCTAATAATACTGTTTAGTCATTAAGGACTCAGTAACTATTAAGTACAAGAACGATATTAAGTACCTTCCTTAACTTATACTACAACGTAAAGCATTTTTTACAACAACAAACGAATCTAACAATCATCAATCAGTACATTTGTCTTTTTTTTGTAAAGCTTCAAGAGTATGCTTACAGAAAGCGATATGCGATATAAAGCTAAAGTGCCATTTCTAAGCTCGGTCAAAATCCAAGATAGAGAGAAACCATCAATTATTACTGGGATAGAAAACAATGTACTGTACTCCGGTGAACATCAAAGGATCTGGAAGACTCTAGCGCCTAATATAAGGCAGTAGAAGAGCACAAAAATTAATTAAGAAATTCACTTTGAGAAAAGTTAGAGTGTTTGGTTTTGCTACAGACTCATAGATGGCATTGGGACTCTCAATACATCCTTGGATTTTCTAGTAGCTATTTTAATAGGATATCTTCGGCTGGAATACGTTAAATAATAGTAAAACATAACAAATACGTTTTACCTGATCGCTCAGCAACAGGGCAGCAGTCATTGCTGAATCCGATACAGATCGCGTGGTCTGTTGTCGACCAGTACAGAGTAGATTATCTCTTTATCTTGGCTTAGGATGGATTGTAGGCACTCAAAAAATAGGCAATATTGTCATTCCGATAAAAGAGAGTATTCCAAACCAAGGCATTTTCAAGAACCTACACGATAGAACTCTGATTTTGAATGTAAAATACATCACATAGTTTGTACTAAACATTTGAGGGCTTGCAATTTGTCTTAAAAGAATTTACTATAGAATCGCTGTTAAGATAAGGCTTTTTCCATGCTATTTGTACACAGTTAGCATTGCACTGTTATAATGTGTGTTTGCTACATAATTCAACTATAAGTAATAGATCAGAGGACATTATTGTCGATCATGATGATGCTCAGTCCTACCATGCATTACTAGACACTGGCTTGGAATCATTTTAAAAAAATGAGGATTCCTAGAATTTTGTATCTTGTTTGTCAACAGCCTCGGAATATGATATAGGACCGTCTTCTTTTTTGTTATCTGGATTTTCTTCACTATGTTTTATTCCGTAGAAAAAGTATATCAGGAAACCTGGAATATAAATGCAAAGTGACGAATTTTTCGATACCACCACAAAAAATCTGTAAAAGTCAATACCATTTAGTGTTTTCGAATCTTTAAAGTAAGAATTGTTAACTCACCTAAGAATAACCATATTGAAAACCTTATCCAAGTATGTAGGTCTAACTCCAGCATTAGATATACGTTGAATAGTACGCTTAGGCAAGGTATAAGTGGCACCAGGGGTACCTGCAAAAGAAATATCTCCGTTACTTGGATTGCGTGTCTAATGTAATGGATTTAATTTGTCATACGATATTGCTTGTGATGCGTTCTGATGAAGAAAAAAACGTTTCTATAAGGAGAACAGATTTCTGTATGGCCTGAATTTGTTTGCGTTGTATTTTGTGCTAATTATAGCGCAGGCACAAGCTTCACTTAAAGTGGGCATCTTTTGGTGGATTAGTTTAGTCAATGCTTTGAGTGAATGAATAAGATAAAAATAAAGACGTTTCAATGTATAGGCCATCTATCGGACCCTTCTGCGCCTCTGTGAATGTTTGGCCACAGTGTACGTCATTCTAGCATACGTGGAGTATGGCCTTGAGTTGCATCTTTCTCTGATTTTGTAGTGAAATACACCATTATTTGTCAACTTTTGGTGGATTTACCTTGAAAGTAAGTTTTTCGTCCACCGTGGGTTGCCTGCCAATAACTACCAGAGTTGTGAGCATAGCAATCGCAGCTATCACTAAAGCTAGTACGAAGAATGGTTCCGATAATAAGTCTTTGCCATTGATGAATACTACGCAGAATAGTACCGTGAAAATACCTAAAATGAAGGATAATGTCACAATCAGAATATTTTTTTTATTCTAGATCCCTTTTACTGGTACTTACTATAAAGAGATATACTCCAAGTGACTACACCAGAAGTTTCAACTGAGGGGTATTTATTGTTGTTCAAATTAAATATAAACTTGAACTTATGGTATATGGATTCTTCTACAGTTTCTTCTATTTTTGTCATTGTTATGTCAGGATAAGTAGCCTTGGTTTCATCTACCTGATACCTAGAAAGGATTATATATATTAGTTATAGGTCTAAGTGATTTAAAATATGTATTTTTTACGACTAGAGTGTTTCTAAAATGTTTTTGAGAAAATAAATTGCTTTAGAAGTAAATAGTTTCGTCATGTTTAGTTTATAAAGGCATATTTTGGTACAAATATTGAAGTGGGAGAACTGAAGTCGGAAGGGGCTCGTAGATATGTTTCTTTTCAGGTATCCCTCATATAAAGTCAATCTGCTTGATGGTACAAGTGTAACAATAGTAACGGTAAGGTATTTTTGAAAACGGTCAAGATCAGGTGACCAACTTTGAATAATTCCCTTTTTACATTGAAAATAAGACACGAATTACTTCATGACTTGAGTTCATGGCCAAATTTCAAAGTAGTAAACAGGAATTTGACGTCAAATAAGTCCATGAAGTGCAAGAACTTTTTCTAATTTTTGTCAAGTTGGATGTCAAATTCCATGGTACCAATCTTGTTTCGCTTCCCATTATATTGATCAAATTTCAATTCAAGAATCTAAATTTGATTCCGGTTTTATGAGATTTGCCTCAAAATCATAACCGCAACAGATATAAACGCTTCTGGAAAGAATTTGTTGTGCGGTTGGCAGCATTGAGTACTGACAGATAATCCATGAATTTATCCATTGTTGTAAACACCGCAACACATAATCAAAATGACATTGAAGGCATCCATCTGAACAAATTCGTGAAGAAATTGATGATATGAAATAACGAGTTCAGTAGTTGGCTTTGACCCTGAGCCTCACCTGTTCCAAGGTCAGTTTTTCTTTTTTACGCCCGGATATGTCGTTACATCTCAGGTCAGGGTCACCTCTAAAGGTCACATACGAGTATGTGAGGCTACCGAGAATTTCCAGATGTTTAGCAGGGATATTGATGAAAAAAGCTATCAAGAACAGTTATTCAATATCTTATAACAAAGATTGCGGTGGTGACCTTGGATTCAATCTTGAGCCTCACCTTTGGAGTGATTCCAATGTCAAATTTTCTTTTAACACGATACACCCCTTTCAGTAGCCGGTGATGGAAAGCATTACGTAGCTACTTATAAGTTCTCATGTAGTATTATGACCCTGAGGATCAGGCTCAAGGTCAAAGCCAAGGTCAATACTTAGGACCTTGTTCAAATTTTCAAATTTACTAGAGATTTGACCTTAAATTTTCATCAATAATCCTGCAAAAAATTTATGAATTTCCCTAGCCTTACATGCTTGATCTTCGTTTGACCTTTGGGCGTGAGTTTCGGTGTCAAAAATGGATCTTTCTGTTTAAAAAACAAAAACTGACCTTGAAATCCACCATTGAATTCCTTGTTAGTGAGTAACTGGCCTTGGCCTTTTTAAAAATTGTTCACCTGATAAAGTAAAATACGGAGCCGTTCTTTAACTTACCATCACACCTATCCTACATTTTTCTCACAACCCCAATGACTTACCTCATAATCAAAACAGATACAGCTACAATTGTGTAAGCCAATAGGGTTCCAATAGACATCATGTCAATAAGCTGGTCAAGGTTGAAAAGGACTGCCATTATACCTAGAAAGAAAGATAGAGTTGCAGTTATATTGAGTCGGATATTGACATGTCTATGTTATAGTCAAGTCCAAAACACGGATGGCCGGTTGAAGTTCTGGACAAAGTTAAGACTACCCAATCAAAGCACCAAGTTGCTTGTTCCATCAGACTATGACTGGGGTTTGCTCAGAAAGTCGAAGTCTAGAATATTTCATCAGAATTAGACCACATAGTTACTTTACGATTTAAGAATCACTCAAGTGTTTGACTGATGTATGCCAGTTCTGACGATGAAATAACAATAAATTAACAAAGGGTAATAAAACGGACAATCTGCTTTATGAACAGACGCAGCTCAGTCAAAACTATTGTCTATGATTAGGAGTAGTCACATATTGGAAACCCGAGAAGTGCAGAAAAATCTAGAACGCTATCCCTAAAGTTTTGTAATCACCTCGTATTGAATAATAATCAATGCTGAAAAAAGTTAATAGTTAATAGAGGAATAATTCTATGATAGTTAATACGCCACCCCAAATAGGAGCTTTAAAGTACGTGAGAGATGCGTCTTCAGGTTTTTATAAAACATAAGTAGTTACTTTCATTCAAGGAAATACACGGTAATATTGTAACCTGACAAACTCACGTAACTTGTCTTTATAATGTTGGTCACTTAACAGTAATTTGAATTTCTCTTTATAATTGATAGAGTACCGATTCATAGGCCAAACCTTTTTCAATTATTTTCTTTTGGAAAATTTTAGAATTTATTGATCTACTGAGCTCGAAACTACCTAATCTTGAACATATTATATCTTTCTTCTTAACGACTCAGTATTGTGTTCGTGTCTTTTGGACACTGACGAGTGTTGTTATAATATTTTATTAACGACCAGCTCAGAAATTTCCTGATAAAATATCGTTGGTCCCTGTTGACTGTTTTACCCAAGACATTCTTTTGGGAAATAACACGGTCTGTTATGTGATGTTGCGTATATACGTTCAGTTGCGACCTTTTCATCCCTGAACGCCTGTCAGGTTTTTTGGATTGTTTTGTTTTCCTTGGGCGAAACTCTGTTTCGTTAAGTCTAGGTAGAATATTAGACAGGTTAGTTTAGGACTCCGAATTTCTCATTCATTATTATTACTTTTTTGGCATCGAGTCAGTGGAGTACAAAATTTTGGAACGGCTTTCTACTTTCGACATTGATTGACAGTCAACTGACTGACTGATGGAAGGCCGGAAGTCTGGAGACCGTCATTTTTATTTTCTGTTGAGGCTTCGGTTGTGCGTAGGTCGTACGTTTGATTTCCAGATTCTGGTATATTCGACCCCAATCACCAGTTTGTGGAGGAGCACCTTTTTTATGTAGCTATCTTACGTTCACTTCTTTGTTTTGGTTTGGGTGCTACTCTGTCCATTTTTATGGGATTTTAACCTATTCAGCGGTAAGTTCTTTTGTATACCATCTGACCACGTGCATTAATGCATGGCCAGAAGAAGTTTGTTCAACACCTGCTTCCTTTTAGTGGGAAGGCATTGAGGAAAACCAACCATCTGCACTTCCCCAGCTTTGTACGAGTAGCTGTCTTGTAACTGTTTTGTGGCCGATTTCATTGAGAAACCGCCCCCCTCTCTTAAGAAAACAACCCTGATGTGAACAGGTGCAATATCATTTTCAACTAACTCTTTGATAGATATTTATATATTGACTATTGTTGACTGAAATATCTAGAGTGTACTTGATTTTGTTTGACATTTTTAGAGTTCAAATGTGGGGCAGCTCCTATTGAGCTTACTCCATTGTATTGATCACGATTTTATTTTTTTAGCTACCATAGCTTTATTAGAACAAGGGATTTTGAAGGTGTACTATCTTAGTAATTTTTTTGCCTTTCCTTTAAATTTCTTGTAAAAACGTATGTGGTTTTTCAAGATCGAGTGTTTTAATGAATAGTTTTGTCTCACAAAGATAAGAGAGTCTTTCTCTCCCTCTAGGTTTTTTTGACCGTAAATTTTGAAAACGAGGCAGGCAGCCCCTACCTTGTGAAGTGCATTGCCAAGACAACAACCAGCTATAAAAAACTACAGAAAAAAACATAACGGAAAGATTTTTTTTAAATACATAGAAAACGCTGATAGTTCCACAGGTTAAACATCTATCGATTTTTACCTCCTCCTCGAACCTATTCTAGCTACTGAAAATAGCTTCATTAGACTTGTATTTAATAGAAATATATGTACAAAAATGGAATACTTCAAGAGAAGAAGCCACTAGCAGGCTCAACTTGATGTGTACAGGTCAGCCCACTTGTGGCTTTCTGCTCAAGAGGTAATTTGATGGTCGTAGCACGCTGGTTGAACCTCATAATTTGTATATTTAGCATGACTTGGTGTATAGTTTTGGAGATTTTTAGGATTCGATAATGATTATCAAATAGTTACTTTCCAATTATCGTTAAATTATCAGCATTTACATGCAGTATTGATTTTATTAATCAAAGGTGTACTTTAGGGATGACGCACAAGATTTTCCCGCACCTTTTGAGTATCCAATAAATATTTTTGACTACTTTTAATTGAAAACAACTGTTTTCACTGATTCGCGTTGGTTTCCTGAGGGAGCAGAGAAATGCTAATTCCTCAGACCTGCGATGGCTTTGCCTTTAAAAAGCGAATTAGCAAATTGTGTTTGTATTAGGTACTGAGCTACAAAATAAATAATAATACTCCATCACGTACATTTTTTGAGAAACCTTTTTTTACGTTTTACCAGTGTTATATAAACTGGCTCTATAGGCTCACAAGGTGCAAGGCTTAACTCTTAACTAATAGTTCTTCGTCATCATTCTCCAACCATTGCTTTTCTTTCCAAGTCACACATAAATATGGTTAATCTCCTCAGGTCCTCTTTCACTGTCACCTCGTCCTTCTTAGTATTACCGTCGGTTATTAATGAGGAAGTTTCCTATTTTTAGAAACACACTTAATATGATAGTCTGAACTGAAATACAGCACTGGAAAAATCTCAAAAAATGACAAAGTTACGCTATCCAAAAGTTGCTTATTTGGAAAACTAACTTGTTGGAGTGTGAGACTGAGTGATGACGTCACATGACACCAGCTACCATTGCTACCACAAAGCGATGCGCCTACCGCGCATCTTGCTCGACTCCGTATTCACAATTTATAGCAAGAATTAGACCGTGCCTAGATGTGTAAATACAGGGTTCGCTTAGAGTAAGCTCGACTTAATATTGTTATTATTAGGTGGATACTAAAACTATTTCTGTCGTTCAAGCAAAAAATTATTTCGATAAAAAAGCGGCCAAATAGACTCTAGGATGCAAATATCAAAAAAGGCATTTTTGTTCTTCCTTTCATATGATGGTAATACCAAACGCTATCAGACGAAGAACAAGTAGTAGAAACAAGTAACTTTAGCCTAGGTATTCGACTATTACCGGCTGTTGTCTTTCTATGAAAATTGTGCAGCTCCAAAGTACGCATGTCTTCAATAAAATTAAAGCTCTACGTGTTGGAAAAGAAGCAAAGCTGTATCGTGACTTCACAAACATAGCTGAACTTTAAAAAAATACAATTATTAGTAGGGGTAAATGAATGCTAAATTTCACTGGCTTGTGTTTTAACATTGCCTATTACCTGTTCAACTATAATTACCTGACAGAAGTCCAGATAACACCGTCGCGAGCAATGGCGTTTTAGTCCTCGGTGAGACTTTGGCCAAAAACTTGAAAATAAGACCATCCGATGACATCGCATAAACAACTCTAGGTAGGGGAAACATGGCCCCTAGGAGACTCGTGAGCAGGGCAAAGATAGCGCCAACGGTCACAATCCACTTAATGGTGTGCCAGCCTATTTGTTCAAAAACGTATGGAAGGGGCGCATCTGGATCCTAGAAATAAACAAAGAACAATAATAATTTAAGAATTTTTAGATCCTCGCAAATTCCAAAACTTTCAAGGCAAGCTTTTTTTCTGAAAATTAGTAAATTATTGAAAATTCTGGAAATTTTGAAAAATTTCGATGTTTTGAAAATCCTGAAAAACCTGAAAAGTGTGAGAAGTCCGAAAATGTTGAGTATTCAAACATTATTAGAATCCTAAGGTCATAAGAAATGTTGGACAAAATCAAAAAAATAAGAATTTGAGAAAATTGAAAATTTTGTCAGTATTTATCTATGATTGAACCCCATGTTTTTTTGACCAAATGAAACCATATACCTATATAAAATTACTACTGAAGAAAGTATAGATAAAAATGATAATGAGCGGTATTCATCAAAAAGAAGCATATCCTCCGAAGCATAAGGTAAAAGTTAAGGTCTTGCTTCGGAGAAAAAGGTAGAAGTATAAGCATATCCTTGTTTTCGTACTCATAATGATTACCTCATACTCAAGAGAATATCCTCCAAGAAGAAGTAAAAGGTTGATTGTTATTTGTATCTTGAGCGACATGTCCTGACTTGCTCCAGCTTGTAGTTGACGAGGGAGTTCGTTCATTCAGCATCACTGACAGTTGTACAGAGCTTACACAGACCGTTCCGTATTTTTACTGGATACATTTTTTTATCAAATTAATAAGCATGTCATCCTCAAGTGATGAGGAAACTATAAAAAATAATGGCAACGACATGCAGTTCATCGAAGATAAAATTGCCATTGCTCAAATTATTTTGCAAAAGTCACAAGTTCCAAAAATAAAAAAGAGAAAGGACGATGCCTTGACGAAGATGTTAAAAAAATATGAATCAACATTCGGTAAACCATTATATACTAAAGACTTATTAAAAAAAAATCAACAACATGAAATGAAGATTGAAGAAAAAACAGATCTAAAAAAAACTGGTAATAAAGCAATTAAATTGTTAGATTGGGAAAGAAAGTTGCTGAAAGCTATGGAAGGTGACTGTAATCCTACAATTTGGAAAATTAGAGGTGCCATTCAGGTTGGTAGTGTTCAAGAAGAAGGAAGTGAACTATACAGGGTGACTTCGAAGTTGAGTCATTTATTTTAACAGTGAGTAGATCTGATCAAAAGAAATGTTTTTTCCTTGACCATTTTTCTGGTAAAATTAAAGTAACAAAGTTATAGCCCTTTGGAAGTTTGAGTACCGCCCTGTCTCAATAATAATATTATGTGCTCGTGTTTGGCGACAACGGATATAATTCGCCTTATCGGTTCATCGCATCGGAAACAAAAAAGCGAAAGAATTTGAAACGATGTTTTTACAATTATTTCATTCAGTATTTCAGTTGTATACAGTCAGTGTCAGTCGGTAGTGGATAGTGGTGTCTGTTGCGTGGCTCAAACGAAATAAAAAATGGCACATGTTTATGCGGATCGGTTTCCCAATCGAGTGCAACCAACCCCTCGTGCCTTTGTTAATGTAGTACAACGGGCTCGTGAATCAGGTGACTTAAGACCTCACAGGAAAGGGCATGCCGGATGCCGGTGCTCCAAGACCGCGCGATCAAATACAGGTCCGCACTGAAATACTTGTCGGGAGGATACTTTATAAAACAAGGTAAATTTTTTTTTAATTTTTTTTTATTTTTACACATATATTGGTTTATCTTCCTTCTACAATCATTATCTGAAAATTAATGACTCAACTTCAAAGTCACGAGCGCAGTGAGCAAACAGTTAGTATTACAGCGCCAGCAATTCAGAAGACATTGCCACCAAAAGAAAATTAGCAACAGAGAAATACGAAACTGAGGAAATCAAAGGGCTAACTACAAAAGAACTGCAACGTCTAGCGCTATTACAGGAGTACCAAACAAGTATTTTACAACAAGAGTATATCTGTAACTTATGATGTTCACGAAAATAAAACTTATTATAACTTATAAATACACTTTAATCAGTAAAACTATTTATTATAATACTAAAGTTTCTTCTTATTCTCCTGGGTCTTGTTCAACTAACTCAAAGTCAGGATCGGCCAAGCTCTTCGCAACATTATGGAGTACAATACAAGCAATAATTATTTTCGGCACATTTTCCAACTTTACGCGGCAAACATACTGTAGGATAGGAAACCGGCGTTTCAGTTGGCCGAAACAGCGTTCCATTACACCTATAACTCTTTCTTGTTTTAAAAGCTTATTATAGATTATTTCTGTACCTGTAGTAGGATTTCTGAAGGGAGTCATAAGGCATGGCTCAATACCATAACCGTAATCGCCAAGTAGTAGAACATTTGCTTTATTCATTAGTTGTGATCTTCTCCATTTCTGGAATCATGCACTGATCCAGGCCAACTGACATCAACACTTGTGAACATCTCTCTGGCATCACAAGTGGCTTGCACATTTAAAGTAGGTTCCCCTTTTCGGTTGATATACTCATCTCCATGGCGATTTGGTTTCAGGATTTCTATATGTGTACAATCAATTACACCAATTGCTGTCGGAAATTTATTCATGCTTTGTCATATCCGTTTGGCCTCCATCAGTTCAGGGTTGGTAGTTGGAAACTTAATCCATTCGTTCGACTGTGCAACTATCCTGTTCACAACTCTATCTACAGTCCGAGATACCGTTGCTTGACGAACACCAAGCTCCCGACCAATACCTTGTTGATATCCAAGGTCACCATGATAGCGTAGACATATCTTGATTTTATGAATAGATGAAAGTGCTCCTCCTCGAGTTTCCTCATTCTCAACTAAAAATCTGCCCGCAAGACATTTGCTTCGTCGAACCGATATAATTTTTTGAAGTCACGACCAAGTGAGGGTAAAGAGGTTTCTACGTTTTAACATCCCTAACATCCACGACTTCCGCCTTCATCGTTTGACCACTTTCGTTACGAAGTTGAGTCTGCTACTGACCACACTCAGAATTTTTGAAGGATATGCTTCCTATGCCAAGTATAAGGTGAAGATTATGAATATCCTTTCATTTATGTCACTGCTTGGAAGAATATGCTTATAATTAAAAAGCAAAAGCATTTACTTGAAATTATTATAAATACCATCTGGAGGATTTCCTTCAAAATTTGCAAGTACAAGGATATCCTTTGTTTTATGAATACGGCTCAATGACAATGTGATATATTATACCAGGCATTGATTGATATATTCTACTTGAAGATTTCCAATTTAATCCTAAATTCTCGCGTCCAAAAAATTATCAGAGATGAGATGAGATACCCTAGCACCATCTATGAGAGTTTGCCACAGTTATGTTTCTTTTCTTAACACTAAGTAGAGATTTACTTCGAAAATCTTCGCATTTCGTAGATGGCGCTGTAGCCAAATATATGCTAGTATACAGTCCCCCTCCCAGCTTTTTAGCGTGACCTTTTAGAAAACAGAGTTATATACAAAGGTTGAGGGCACAACTTATGTATAAAGCATTTTTTCTAAACCGTACCATACGAAATAGTTACAGGGGGCAATTAATAGCGGGACACGCTGTACAATTTTCTTTGACAAACTCCACCAACTCAGCGTATTTTCTGGATAGAACGAATTTTAGCACTTTAGATGAGAGTGACGATTCATGTAAAGAACGCTATGTATCTTATCAAATTATTAGTTTATCAATTATCTTTTCAGTCATATAAATGCACCCTCTCATCATATTAAATCAACTTTATGTTTCCTATAATATCCAGATAACTTCCAAAAAGTGAGTTCAACATTATAACTAACGATCCGATCAATGCAGTAAAAATATATTTTCTATATTTATTTTTCTGAGTGTATCCAAAACAACATTGTGAGATACTCCCTCTTATAGTTTCTGATTCTCGGAAAAACGTCTGGCCCAGCGTCTGGCGCTTGCCCTGATTGGTTATTCCTACATTCCGTACCTTCAATTGTTTTGCCTACAATTGCGACTTTGTAACTGGCAGGACGCAATCAGTTTGCTTTTAAATTAATTATCTGGAAATCGTGTTATGTTGGAGTATTTTTAATTATTCCAGAATACTTGTGTCTGTGTTGTGGGATAACAATTGTAGTGTATGCCTGAAATGTAGTGGTGTTTGAAACTCTACGCGGATAAAGCTGTGGATCTATCAATCGTGTAAGAATCGTTTATTAGCATTATGCTTGTGAAGTGATTGTGGATATTTGTGTTAGCTTTCCAAATGGAGTTCGAAGTAGTTGGGAATTGTGGATCGGTCCTTGACTTGCTGCAGATGGAACGATAAGTAAGAAGTAAGTAAGTTTACCTTTCCTAAGTTTTTTTACTACCAGCAATATTACATTACGTACCTATGTTCAGCAGTGGGGCATTATTGACCGAGAACTATAACGTGAGGCATTTAGCACTGAATGATATAATGTGCGAGACCTTCTCAAACAAGGTTTCCATTATATTTTTCACTACTAAACCGGGTGTTTCAAATTCGATCTCGGAAACGGTAAGAGATACGAAGAAGGTTAAATGGGGCAAAGTTGTGCATTTAGCTAACTAAGAAAATGACATATAGAAAGTTTCGCAGTTCCAAGTATTTCCATATACAGGGTGTAAACGTTATGGTAGTCATTATTGAAATGGGTAATAGGGGGGTCAAAACAAGTCAAAAAGTTCATACGACCCATGGTCCAAAAGTCAATAGATTTTTGTCTAAATGGCTTTATAGTGAGTTTACAACTTTAAGTTTATATCGACCGCAATCACCACAATCTTACCAATTCTTATAATATAATCTAAAACGTTTTGAAATTGGGTAAATAACAAATAAATAGCATTAAGGTTTTCTAAGTTAAGGGTGACTTCGAAGTTGAGTCATTTATTTTAACAGTGAGTAGATCTGATCAAAAGAAATGTTTTTTCCTTTAACATTTTTCTGGTAAAATTAAAGTAACAAAGTTATAGCCCTTTAGAAGTTTGAGTACCGCCCTGTCTCAACAATAATATTATGTGCTCGTGTTTGGCAACAACGGATATAATCCGCGTTATCGGTTCATCGCATCGGAAACAAAAAAGCGAAAGAATTTGAAACGTTTCTCACGATGTTTTTCGTCAGTCGGTAACGCGTGAGTGAATAGTGGTGTTTGCTGCATGGCTCAAATGAAATAAAAAATGGCACATGTTTACGAAAATGCTGAACTTGTGGACATGATTCTTCTTTACAAAATGCTGCCGCGGCATCACGGATTTATGCGAATCGGTTTCCCAATCGAGTGCAACCAACCCCTCGTGCCTTTGTTAATATAGTACAAAGGGCTCGTGAATCAGGAGACTTAAGACCTTACAGGGGAGGGCCTGCGGGTGCTCCAAGACCGCACGATCAAATACAGGTCCGCACTGAAATACTTGTCGGGAGGATACTTTATAAAACAAGGTAACATTTTTTTTAATGTTTTTTTTTATTTTTACACACATATTTTGGTTTATCTTCCTTCTACAATCATTATCTGAAAATTAATGACTCAATTTCAAAGTCACCCTATCAAAATTGTGTTCCCTATTTATAAGTTGATTTTTTTAATACGTTCAATAAACTTTCACATACCAGGTGAAGCGTTGAGACAGTTAGTGGTAAGTCTGTTTTTTTTAATTGTTTGCATTTTACGAGTACATTATCAAATAATGAAATAATACCTAAGAGCCAAAAATAACAAACTCCATCTTTATTTACACTGAGCTCCGTCGTAATTTGCGTCTGGCATTGCGGTGTTGTCAGATTTTATTTTACTTTAAAGTCGCTTTTCTCTAAGAAAATGCCGTTTTGACACTCATATTATATGAAACTTTTTGCTTCTTTTAACCCACTCCATCACCCATTTAAAAAATGACTATCATAACGTTTACATCCTGTATAAACGAATCAAACCAATTTTTCCCAAAATGGTTTTTATTACTTCCCACGCTTACTGGGATTATTCGAACATAATCACAATTTTATATTGTCACCCTCAAAAAAACTTCTTTCCGAAGCCACACAGCGCTGGAGACGGTTCTTCCACTCCTAATAGCAGTGCTGGATGTCCGATATTGCAATAGCCTTCAGCTGGTCGGTTACAGCCGTTTAGATGTATCCGACTATCCCAAAACGAGTTTCCTTGAGGCGATTCTTCAACTTCGAGAAGAGAAAAAAGTCACAGGGACTCAAGTCAGGTGGGGAGAGTCAAATTCAACTCTTCCCCGATCATTCTGACTGTCAACCGACGATCTGAACGCACAAGATCCCGGATTCTGGCGATATTTTCATCAGTTCTTGAAGATGAAGGCCTTCCGCTCCGCTGCGTGGACAACCAAATGACTGGAGCGAGTTCGAACTTGTACTGAAGGCGGATCACATAGTCCCCCGCCTCCCCTCCAAGCGCGACGCTTCTAGTGTTGCCAGATCGAACGCTATGTTGTCAGTCTCATCACTTAATTTACAAACCTTGCATTGGATATATTTCATACATCATAGATTTCTCTGTACATTAACCCTGAAATATTCTCGGGAAACGGGACGCATGCGCATCGGCCGAGGCTGCTGCTGCTGATGCTGCAAGCGTCGTGCGCCTGTCGTGATGAGTGTTCGGTATGGAATCACACGTTTTTCTGCAACAGCATAGTGTTTTCTATGCTGTGACCGGGCGAGCACAGTGTCACGTCTGCCCCAGTTAGGTATCGAGGAGATGCGACATTCCCAGATGAATTACCGATAGGCAAGACTGTCTATGGACTAGTTATATGGACCTGTTTGACAGATTTTTTCTCAGAGGGTTTAGTTTGTGCTGAACATCCTTTATGTACTGATAAAGGCGAGCGTGCAAAGTGCAGAGTCAACCTATTAAAAAAAACGGACTTAAACTAACTGTCTCAGCGCTTCACCTGGAGTGTGAACGTTTATTGAACGGAGTAAAAAATCCACTTATAAATAGGGAACACAACTTTGATACAAACATTGTTTTTCTTTTTAAAACCTACACTGCACTTTTTTTGTATTTAGAGAAGGTGTTCAAAAAGTCGTCCTCCACTTTCCACCCAAGCTTCATTACGATGAACCCAGTTTCTTTTTACTCTAGGTACTCGAAGTTGTCCATTTATTATTTCAGCCGCAGTAACATTTTTTCGCGAAGTTGTGCTTCAGTTGTTACTGGACCAGCCCAATAAACCATTCCTTTAAGTTCTCCCAAATACCCGAAATCCATCGGATTGAGTCAGGAGATCTTGCTGGCCATTTTCGAGGATGAGGAGCATTTCGACCGATCCAGCGATTTGGATAATGTTCATTCAAATACTGAATGACGCCTTTAAAAATGTGTGGTGGTGCCCCGTCATGAAGAAACCACAAATTTTGTCTCCGTTGTAATGGCATGTTGTCTAAGGTCTGTTAGAAAAGTTCTGGTAGGTTATTGGCTAGAAAGCTAAGGTATCCTTCTCCTGACGATCTTGGGGTTCACTCGAAAGGGCCAATTACCTGATCGTCAAGAATACCCGCCCAAATATTTATTTTACAAACATTGTTGCAAATGACCTTCACGAATGGTATGAGGATTTTCTTGGGCCCACGTGTGAGTATTATGGAAATTTAATATCCCGTCTCGCGTAAACGTACATAGAATGTTTTTAGAAAATTCAGGATTTTCAATGTTTTTGTGCAAAAACCACTGACAGAATGTTACTCTGCGAGGATAGTCTTCTGGTAACAAGGCCTACACTCGTTGTACATGGTAGGGATAAAGCAAATTTTTCCGTAAGCTATGGACTATGGTATGCGATAGACCTACGTGGCGGCATAATTCCCGAGTGCTGATATCTGCATTGCTTTCCACGATATTCAAAACCTATTCCTCCTGCTCTACAGTAACCTATCTTTCATGAGTGCGAATATTAGTGGGCTGAAAACCTCCTGTATCTCGATGTCTTTGGTACACTTGCACAAATGTCCTTCTGTTTGGGTGTACCCGTTGGCGAAATCTGTCGCGATAAATTTGAGCTGCAAGATTTGAATTCTGACGAGCTTAACCGTAAACTAACAACATGTCGGCGAACTCTTGATTCGAGAACATTGTAAATAAACACGACGACGTACGCGAACAATAACTAACCACTGTTACCGTTTGCGATCGATTGCCGGTTCGATAAGAGTGATGAATGACCAACGCGCTGTTGTCATGTGTGTTTTAAATATTTATTTTAATGAAACTGGCTTACTTACTGACTACAAATTTTGGCTTAACTTAGAAAAACTTAATGCCATTTATTTGTTAAACAATTTAAAAACGTTTTAGATTAGATTATAAAAATTAGTAACATTGTGGTGATTGTCGTCGATTTAAAGCACTTAAAGTTGTATGCTATACCTGTCAGGGACTTGAACTTAATAAGTTACATATGAATAAAAATCGAACCCAGGAATTTTGAGTTTCCAAAACATTTTTAGCTCAGTTCCAAGCATTATTGATTAATTATAAGAAATGCTGATGGAAGTAAGTAAATAATATTTGAAATTTTGAGTTCTAAGTCACAAAAAGTTACATTTGAACGAACTAAAATTTTCGAATAAAAAACCAAAAGAGGTGCAATGAATCTGTTTTGATAATTAATTGGTCTTTGTCGTACATAGTCAATCATTTCAATATCCAGCTTAATATGCGTTTATTTTGCTAAGATGCAAGAAATTAAAAGAAAACAGCCCATCCCTGGATATTTAAGCCCCCAGACTATTTTTAGGTTGTTCATAGGTAGCTTTGCTATTTTAAAAACTTTAATCAAAATCGTTTCAAAAGTGACTGAGATGTGTAATATTAAATATTGGACATGTTTAGACAAATCACACAGTATATCCGGTAAAAATGAACTGAGACCTTAGTTATTTTCATATATGAAAAGGCCGCGGTCCATATTACCTGCCATTTCACTGCGTTTATTTAACCCAGGAATACACTGTATCCACTTACTTGTAGGTAGTATGGCCAAATCATCGTAAGAATCGTAGATATACCAAAGTAAGCCAAAAAAGTAATAAAAAGCGAGAATACAATTGCCAGTGGTATATCTCTTTGTGGATTCTTGGCTTCTTCGCCCGTTGTAGCCACGGAATCGAACCCGACGAAGCCATAGAAGCATTTGGCGGCTCCCGCCATGACTCCTGACACACCGAAAGGGAGGAAGCCTCCTTTTCCAGCGGCTGATTGGTATTCCTCTGGGATAGATTCCGGGAGGATCTTCCAGTTGCTAATGTCAGCTGAGAAAAACGTAAAAACTGTTTAGACTTTTACCTAAACTAGTTAAACAAATTAAATCAATTTATTTAAATTATTTTACTTGGGCAGATTAGCTCATTTTAATTGTTCATTAATTTTAAATAAATTGGTATTCTTAATCTAAGTAAACGGTTTTATAAATTTAATTAAACGAGTGCATTTTGATTTAAAGAAAATAGTTTCCTAGATTCTAATGAACTGTTTTGGAAATCGGAGTTCAATTAGACCAATTAAACTTGTTGGCTGTCACATGGTTAATTAAATTTCGGTTTCACTTCCCCCTACTGGCGAGGAATTAATGTAATTGCGAAACATTTCGAAAATGAAATAGGTATTTTGGGTCTAAAAATATGACATGTACATTATGAAGAACCACGTCACTCATTTCCATCAAAATCTGAGCGGTGCTTTCCGAGCTGTAAAGGGGTAAACAAGTCGCGGACAGATGGATAAAAACGCTTTGACAGGAGTAAAGATTATCTTGAAATATGTTCCAAAAAATTTGTTCAAGCAATTTTGGTGCAGTTTTGGGCCTAGAACCACGCAGATTCATTAGAAGGGACCCTTTTGTAATAAGAGTATGCAAAAATCCGATCCAGAATATTTTTTTAATTCTTAAAATGATATTTTGATTTGTTGCTGATGTATGAGGGGCATTTCAAAAAGATGTAGTTGAAGTGCACGACGTTCTAGTACAGTGGGATAATATTTGCCTAGTATCACTAGAAAGTTATTTAATATTAAACTGACATTAATTCCTGATGATGTAATATGTATGTAGTTTACCTTTTATTGCTCCTGCAACAAGTACGATACAAATAGTAGCCAAGTTTAGTACGGTGAACAGGTTATTCAAGTTTGAAGATTCCTTTACGCCAAAAGCCAAGAGAGCTGAAAATACAACAGCTAAATTATACAGTCTGTAGAAGAATATGTGGTTATCGTGTAATAGAAATTCGTTAAATTATACATTCATTCATTTACGGACTCCAGCGGAGTCCATCAGGGGCCCGTACCTTTTTAGGGAAACCATGTAGGACATTTTTTTATAGGAAGATGTGGCTTATTTTTTGTGTGTTTCATGCGTATGTGGCAGATTGGCATATGACTCTGGGTCCGTCTATACGAAATGTTTACATATGTTAACTTTTGAGTTCTAAGTGAATCCTATTGAAGCTTCAGTGTCAAATAAGAAAAATAGCTTACATATTTTGTTTTCATATTCATTATGTCCTAAGACTATATGATGTGTGATACATATTTGACAGCGTCAAACACTAGAAGGTAGGTACAAAAACTAGAAGGTAGGATACACAAGAAGAGTAGAAAAACAATTGACTGCCAAAGTGATGCCAGGGTGGTGACAAAAACGTACATGACCTCGATAAAATTAAGATTTATTATTTTATTATTGTATGTGATTCATGACTTTTGTATTCAAGTATCGTTGTTCTTACGTAGTTGCAGTAATGTAGTTATGAAATTCACAAAGATCGATAGTTGATACTGGTAAAGGGGTAGGTCAAATCATGGTAGTTTTAAACGACAATATCTTGATTTGATATGCATTAGTCAAGGTCAAATCGCGAATTTGTCATACATACACCAAAATATGCAATTGAATTCCACCAAATGAGGGTGACACAATTTTCAGGAACCACCAGAAACGTGTTTTTCATGCGTTTATAAAAAAATGTGTCACTCATCATGGAAATATGTTATACTCTGTATATATCCATGCAAAGAGTATCCGTATATTGTTATAAAAGTTACATACAGATATTTGTTGATATTTGTAGTGAAGTCGGGAATGGAGCACGCCGGAGAGTCTACATTTTGTTAATTTTCACGTATTATTTTTCCTGAATCTTAATGATTTTCTCAATTTCACTATATGTTTCAGTAAAACATGATATTTTACAATATATGGATGATTTAATTCTATAATTTGTCGGATTGCTTGAGGTTTTCTTGGTGGAACATTGAAAAATCCCAAATACCGTATATTCACCCAGATATTGAGGACAAACACATTCTGGGACAATTTATATCGAAATGGATAACATTTTTACAGTTTATGGTCACATAACAAGAAGTAGTTGTATTCACCTACATGTATTTTAATGTTTCTAAGGCATAGAAAAATACTTACCGGTAAACAACATTACAAATATAAACGAAAAGAAATCTGGATAGGACGATAGAAACTCAACGTCCATGGGCATCCATTCTGTGAGAGTATCTCTAATTTTTTTATCTGCCAAGGCATCGATGTAGTTACTTAGGCCTCGTGCTACACTTGCCGTACCTGGAACGAAAAAAAAAATGGTGTCAAGTTGATTGATTGCCTTTGGAGGAACTTATAGTAAAATTTTCCAAGTAGTGCAATGGCATCAAAAACGCGTAGTCACTAGTCAGGATGTTTATGAAAAACATTTCATCATATTGCAGGAATGAGCGTGTCCGTAAAAAGTAGCCTTATTCCTTAGCAGCTCTGGTGTAAAACAGTTTGTCAACTTAGATACTATATATACTATCCTGAATAATATTACCTCGCGAAATCAAGTAACCTCATTAAATTACACTCTAAGCATAATGTTCGTATATTTAGATAATATCGCGCCCACTTCATATGTGCATACCGCGTCACCGCGCCGTCTGCTACCTGCTTTTATGAGTCTTAAGGATCGACTACCAACGATGCACACCGTGGCGTCTGACAAGTGCAATCGATGGGTACGCGATCCGTCTGCTGAAAATATTTGTTACTGTTCAAGTTGGAAGAGCAAATGTATGGGAAAATCTATGAAGCTTATTACTATACTGACATCTTCCTCCGCCGCCTCAGAATCGATTTTCAAAAACTAGAAAGCTTTTTCGTCTTTGACGTAGCAGTAACATTGTGTAAAAATTTCATCAGAATCTCACCAGTACTTTTCAAGTTATATAGACAGGCCAATGACTAACGGACAGACAGGGACCCATAGACCGACAGATCTACAAACCGACAGACTGAAATGAGTATCTCATATAACGCCCAAAAAGCATATCTCATTTTCGAAATTTTCCGCATTTACAATACTCCCTCGCCAGTATGCGTGGTACGTAAAACGACTTACTCCAAAATCATTCTGACAAGTACCTACATATCAAAGATTTCCTAAAAGTATATTCCCGTATTAGAATGTAAAATAAACAATTTTAATCATCATAAAAAATCAAAAACAAGCTTTTATGTCTTTAATAAAAATAACTAGGAACCTAAAAATAATTCTTTGCTACCCGCTTTTCTCCATTACTGTTAAAATCGAATGTTCCCTTCAGTTGTACTAAAAATCCAAATTTTCTTACATCAACATTTAAGGTAATTGATCGCTGTAGCTTAACTTGGGACACCCTGTATGTTAGATCCCCTCTTGAAAACCTATCATATTACATAATGTTCCATTATTTCCAAAATGGGTACCATTGCACTCAACAAACTAGGTATGCATTTTTTAATGCGCAATAAATTCTCGGCTTAGGTTATTACGATTAAATAGATTCTGAATGTGAAAAGTGATTGCATTTTCGCAACTCCGATCAAGTGTATATATGTACTAATCAATCCAAATGAATCTGGTTCTCACTGTGCTACGCAATTTTCAACATCGCCAGATGCTTCTTTAAATGTCATTGACCAAATGGGTCACATTGTCAACCATCTACCGGATCTTGTGCGTTTATAATAACTATAATCTCTTGGTTACATAACATGCTGAATATGACTGGGTTTATTCACGCGTTTGGCTGAAAGTAAATGTAGATCCTTACACAGAAAATGAAGCTTGTTTTTACGATGGAGCGACGGCGAAGGCAAATAATAGGAATAAATTGCGGTTTTTGGTTCAACTAGACTAGTCACAATCACGGTTTTTGGCGGCACACGCTAAAACTATATCCATCCCCCTCGCACACAAATGTGCAATCTAGCTTTGTGTGCGGACGCTTGTTTGTGTAAGATCATACATAGGTACAGTGCATCAAAATTACCGATAATTTTTCATGAAAGCCTAAATACTGAGTTTATTTTCATATTTTGGCGAAAGAGTCTGACTCCGAAAGAGGAGGGGTTCTTTAAAAAAACATTTATAAATAACCGAATGCGGTTTTTTACTGAAAACATGATTGAATGGAAAATTATGAGGTTTATTTTGACGCATGAGTGTAATTCGGTAGAATATTTCAAGTTGAAAAAGTAAAAGTATGTGTTAACTTTTTATTAAAATTTACATGAAGTAGGTAGGTATATAAAAATTACAGAAAAATCGACAAAATAAAATGAGACAAAACTTATCGAAACTAAAAATTGCATGAATTGCAGTTGAAAACACAGTTGTAAAGTTTAGTATTTTGGGGTCTGCTGCACTACTTGTTGATATATTCGAATTTGCTATTGAATTATAACTTAAAAAGCTTATTGCAGGGTTCAGCTTCATCGGTTTCTATATTAGGGTTAGCAGTATTATTATCTCTCATTTTTTCTACTATGTTTGAATGGTGTTTCTCGTCCAGTTGGAGATATGGCTTTATGGATTTAGGATTTGAATGTCCAGTAATTTTCATCAACGTATTCTTTTCAAACCATTTCTAAGTTAGGAATAGCTGTTGGACGCAGTGAATGATCAGTTATGTTTACGTTTTCAGTCGCCAAACCTGACTTTTTGCCTCCGTTGACGTCCACTGAGTGATTATCTTTTTTCCGACAGGGATGTTCTTGTACCATTTGCCCAATTTCCAAAAAGGGTTAACAGTCGAGAAAAGTCTCGGAATATTTTTGTAATTTCTCCAATTTGTTTTCTCCGAGAACATTCTGAACAACTTTACTGGACACAAATCCAGGTTAACTATGTTTTTAACCAGCCACTTGGTTAGTTTGTCACCTCCTTGCGTTGTTTTGTTGAATATTGGGTTGTATTTCAGTCTGTTATTTTTTCTCCGCGTTATTAATTTCTTCTTTGAAATAGGATGTTAAAGATTTTACTCTTCTCCTCCTCGCCATGTTAATTCGACCTAGGTCAAAACAACAAATAGCTTTTTTGTAAGCCATCAGGCGATATCATAACTTTGAACTCATCGTATTTGAGTGATACAGCGCTTTGTTTTTTTTTTCGTAGTGTCGGCTTGTAACTTCTTTCTTTTGACATTTTTGTGCATTGCGGGTTGTTTTAAAATCAGTGTCAATGAAACTAATAAATTTAATATTATATTCGTCCTGATATTTTTCCATTAACAGTTTTGAAGTTACATTCCACACAGTCTTTACATTATAATCTTCATTACCCTCACCATTTTTCTTTTTTAGGTTGTAGACCCAGTTAGTGAGAATATTTACTAGCGTCGGTATTGTAGTGTTTTCGACTAGACTATAATTCCTTTCTAGTATTCAGTATTGCAAGTTTAGGTTTACTCTTGATCACTTGTTCTTGAATTAAACCATTTTATGCGTCCATGTTTTGAATACCTCCTTGAACAACTTGCAGCAATAAAACCAAACTTTGCAATTACTTCACAAACCAGGGGTATTTTCCTCTAATATGACTATTAGCATTACCGAGATCAGAAGGTAATTGGCGTGGGAAGAAAACAAAAATAGGACTTTGTATACTAAGAAAGTTAACTTTGGAAATGAGGGAATAGAAGAACTGGGAGCATGTGGTTCTCCTTTCTTTTGGAAGCTGCATTCCTGAACGCTAACAGAATAGCCGCTCCCCAAATCATTCCCGAGCGAAAAAGTCTCGCCGCCGTTCATCAGTCTCATCTAGAAAGTTCACTTTGTGAAGGCACCTTTAATGACATGAAGAAGCAATGAACGCATTATTTTTCCGAAACCGAATATATTCACAAACTTCTTTGACAAATGTCAACAGCTGTCAGAATTTGATATCATTCTGGTGTTCCACAAGCACGTGTTTTAGGTCCTACTTTATTTACTTCCTACACTTCAAATTTGATTGACCATATTTCATCTGGTTGGAATATTATACATGTACGCGCAGATCATGTACAAATTTACAAAGCATGCCAACCGAATAATGTAAACTCCTTGATACGAGATCTCGGCGCCAACTTGGAGATGATTGAACATTATTCCAAAAATTTCTGCTTAAAAATTGACACATCAAAAACGGAAATCACGAATTTTTAAATTCGATATTTGTGCATTGCAAGACGACAAATGCATATTTCATCAATCATAATGATAGATACGGACCTATAGGGAATTTTTCCGATACCTACTGGGCAATTTTCATATCTTATGGTGTCTGATTTTTCCGAAAAAATCGAAAAAGCACGTTGCTAAGTAATATTTTAACTAGCATGAGTCGAAAACGAAGATTTTTGCACCTGCACGAATGTTTTTTGGTAAAAAAATATTACTTTGCATTGAGTTTTATCGATTTCACTGATCAACAGCCAAAAAATATCCTAAATAAAATCAACAAAATATTAGTATTTTTAATGCGCTAAAACCGGAATGAAACTTATTTTTTCAATATTAGTTCAAGTTTTAGAGATACGGTAATTATATGTGTTCCTGCTGTGACAGTGTTAATATACTGTAATTCACAAGAATGCACGTGCTACATTTTTATATTCGGCAAGGAAAGATGATGTAATCGGCATGATTGTGTTACGTTATACATACGTGTACATTATATTGTTTTATATTAGCCATTTTTTCCTCAGTTGGCTGACAGCGTTCATGCAAGATATCTCGAAAGTGTGTAAACAATCCAGATCAGTTTTGTTACGTGTGTGGTGATGTGACTTTTGCGTCTCAGAGACGGTCTATTACTCCACTGATAACAAAGGCATATCAGCTTTATTTCGGTTGTAAACTAGGTGATCAAGACAAACAGTGGGCACCTCACATCTGCTGTAATACATGTGCTTCAAGTCTGAGGAGCTGGTTTAATGGCAAAAAACGGTCTATGCGCTTTGCTGTCCCAATAGTTTGGAGAGAGCCTACAAATCATATTAATGATTGTTACTTTTGCATGGTACCTTGTGTTGGACAAGCCACAGGTATGTCCAAGAAAAAAAATCGGTTATTAACTACCCAAACATACCATCTGCGATGAGACCTGTGCCTCACAGTGACGAAAATCCTATTCCAAAACCCCCAGAATCCTACAGTTGAGAATCAGAAAACGAATCAGATCATGGCGATCGAGTGATTCGTCAGGAAGAAGATATGCCCTCAACGTCAAGAGATCCTGATTTTATACCGAGTACGTCATGCCACCAACCGCACAAAATAACACAGTCAGAATTAAATGATCTTGTAAGAGATTTAGAACTTCCAAAATGTAAGGCAGAGTTACTTGGATCAAGACTGCAGCAGTGGAACTTGTTAGAAGACGATGTTTCGGTATGTGTTTTTCGTAAACGCCACAAAGACATAGAACCATTTTTCAATATGGAGAATAACTTGGTTTTCTGCAGTAACATTAACGGCTTACTGGCGGGTTTAAATATAAACTATAACCCAGAAGAATGGAGATTGTTTATAGACAGTTCAACATTGAGTTTAAAGGCAGTGTTATTGCATATTGGAAATATTTTACCATCTCTTCCTGTAGGGTATGCAGTTCACATGAAAGAATGATATGACAATATGAAGTACCTATTGACATGCATAAAATACGATGAGCACCAATAGCATATTTGTGGCGATTTGAAAGTTGTTGCACTTTTACTTGGGCTGCAGCTAGGCTACACAAAGTTTTGCTGTTTTTTGTGTGAATGGGACAGTCGGGCAAAGGCACTTCATTACACCAGACAAAACTGGCCTGTTCGTCAATTCCTAGAGCCAGGTCAAAAAAATGTACAGCATATGCCATTAGTAGATTCGAAAAAAAATTTATTACCACCACTGCATATCAAGTTGGGCCTAATGAAAAACTTTGTCAAGGCATTAGATAGAGATGGGTCAGCTTTTCAATACCTGCGTCAGAAATTTCCAAGACTAAGTGAGGCAAAGGTTAAAGAAGGTATTTTTGTTGGGCCACAGATTCGAAATATTTTGAAAGATACACAAGATAAACACTTTAACAGGTATTGAAAAAACTGCTTGGAATGATTTCCGTCTGGTGGTCACTAATTTCTTGGGAAATAGAAAAGCTGACAACTATAAAACCCTTGTCAAAAGTATGCTGTCATCGTATCAAAAGATGGGCTGTAATATGTCTCTTAAGATACATTTCCTACACTCACACCTGGACTTTTTTCCTGACAATTGCGGAGCCGTAAGTGATGAGCACGGCGAACGTTTTCATCAGGATATTTCAACAATGGAAAAAAGGTACCAGGGAAAGTGGAATCCTTCCATGCTTACAGACTACTGTTGGACTCTTGGTAGAGATGCTTCAGAAACGATCCATAAAAGAACAGCAAAAAGACAGCGCATATAGTGATTCTTATAAGTATATGAATCTTGTTACTTTTTTTAATATATCCTCAAAAATAAAAAGTTTTTTTCTAAACCGCAACTATTTTTTTTATTTCATTGTCATTTTTGGACTCAGCGCCCCAAAATTAACAAAGAAGTGCACTTTTCCCACAAGATACAATTAAAAAACTAAAATTTGTTGTCCAGTGTTTTTTTCACAGGAAAACATTTGATCCCCGAGTGGCTTTTGACAAGACTATTTCATGAGTAACAGATTATTAATAGAATTTATAAAATACATCTCTTGTACTTTTTGCAACGGTATTCCACTTATTGTCTTCACAACTAGTTCTTTGTAATTTTCACCGTTTTCTTTCTTCATATTCCTCGCCCAATCTTTCAGGATTATAGTTTCCAAAACTTCGTATTTCTTTACCTGTTTTAATGGTATTGTACGCTATATTTTTCTCAATCGCCGGATCAATACTAGTCAAAGAATCACTTCCAAAGCGGCTCATTTTCACTACATAAGCTGACCAGCATTGTTTAAAAACAATATTACAAAATGTATTGACAATAAAATCAGAAAAATTGCTTACCGTCGTTTTCTAGTGTCCTGGGACACCATATTTACTTGTTATCAAAGGTACTGTAATATTTGGTGACAACAGCTGTTAAGTTTTGCCGCAGGTAAGCTCGAAAAAACTGCTGACAGGTGCTGTTATACAATTTTTCTATCTAGAAACCATTTGTAATTGCGCGCTTGTCTGGGCAACGGGAAATTTTCACTGTAATTTTGCGATAATTCCACACCTCTAATGGTATTTTTTATACATGAGGGAAATATTCTAGAAAACGTATGAGTATTCCTAATCTATGCATTTGGCATGGACATAGGTACCATTTTGAGCTTACCTTTTATTGATCTTCGTAATACAAAACGTATGCAGTATGCAACTAAGCATCTGTATCGATAGTTTTTGTCAAAATTATTGGAGTATTTTGAGAAAGTGAGAAAAAGCAATGGTCCTTTATTAATGAACTTATGTGTGCAAAAGCAGCGGCGTTTAAGATCGGTTTTCCCAATATGTGATCCGCCTATGAAGCTACAGCTTCGCATATAGTTAGTTCAGTTAGTCGATCTGCTCACTTATTTTGTATGGTATTGATGACGTAACCGCCAAAAGCCGTGAAAAGAACTATACTTTACCACATTTGTAGCAGCACCATAGGCAGACTATACTGGGATTATTGGGGTCGAGTTTGCTGGAGCAGAGCAATATTTGATTTTGAAGATTTACTGCATATACTATACTCATGAAGATATAGAGTGTAAACTGCGTGTGAAGGCCAAAGCGTCGAGAATAAAGGCGGGCTATTTACTATAGCCCTTGCGCCAGAAATTGTTTTGTTCTCCGCATGTGGCACCTCTCTCTTGTCTGCATCTCTCTCTTTCTTTCACGTGCATGTGTATACATGCGCAGAAGCTCTACGCGCACTGCATTTCTGAGAGCCACACCCTCCTTACCGCCACTGGCTTCATATTAGTACCTATCTCCCGTTATGCAGTTTAACCTCCAACATCTAGTCTTCATGGATTTACTATTTTGTGCGCCATAGCAGTGATGTTTGTAGAATTTGTTATCAACTGAATTCCAAACTGTTCGTACTGTGGCACTTTAAATATTTACAGTATTCGCTTTTACATTACATATATGAAAAATTATTGTTTTGATGTGCGAAGTGTGACTTACCTATTACGTATTCAAGCAAAAGGTTCCATCCAATCACAAACGCCACAAATTCGCCCACTCCCACGTAGCTGTATACATACGCAGATCCAGCTCTTGGCACTCTTGCGGCAAACTCTGCATAGCACAGACCTATAAGAAATTTTGGGAATCATACGAGCTCCTAAAGTATATACTCGTAGAATCGCGTGAGCGATGTTAACTCTTCTAGATTTTCTGGGGTGTTGCTGCCCCGACTACATTATCAATGCACCACGTTGTCCAGAGAAATTTAATAAATATAATTAAGTTGTTTTACTTGGAGCAGGTAAACTCGTTTTAATAGTTCATTATTTTAAACGAATTGTTTCTGCTACAGGTACACCGAAGTCGCCGCGCAGGCGGAAGCCTAAATGCTAGTGCACCGCGGAGCTTAAAGGAACTTTGTTGTGCTCAATTCAATTAAACTGTTCTATGATTTTCTAATTGGCCAAATTTAATTTTTTATTGGATTCAATAATTTCTCTTGGTGTAGGTGGCTATCGTCAGATTTCGCACCTACACAAATATGTTGTCACGAATAGGCGTAAAGTGTCTCGTGTTTTGAAGTACTTTCCGCTTTGAATAATTCTTAACTCTTGGTTCCTGTACTTAAATCACTGTGAGATAAATTGAAAACATGGCATTGGCACGGCTTTTACGATTTTTTTACATTTTACTAACATAGCATCCATTAATACAGAATACACATGATTTACATATTTTACATTTTTATATATTCTCTTCTGTAGGGTAATTCTCATTCGAATTTTGTGTTTAAACTGTGCCAGTCCATGTTGGAATTTGATTACTCGACCATGTACCCAATTTCGTAGTAAGCCGATCGGCCTTCCACTCTGCTAGCACCAACCAAATGTATTCCAGTTAGGGACTCATCAAGTCCAGTAGCTTAAAATTTATAGGAACTACTTGACTTGAAAATAAATTACTTGAAAGGTTGAGTTTTCTATTGTTCTACTTGACTTGAGGTCATGCATTTTCAACCTATTTGATACTTGATGCCAAATTATATTTTTGTTCTAGTAAAGGCCTTCAGGATTTATGTTATATTTATTTGTACAACCGATGAACCGTATTTTGTCTTTTAATGTAAATAATCACGAGTAGTGGATATGTATTCCCAAGTCTCGTTTTAACCGTAACAGATTTTTTATCGACAACTGCAACATCAGCGTCCATTGAAAAGGAATAGGATATTCTAGGGCTGCACTGACCATTACGAAACCCCGCAACAGATTAAGCGACAAGTCCGGTAGGACCCTCATGTGTCTCTAGCGAGTGAAAAGCTAATTCAGAATGTTTCATTTTTTGTTGCTGATGAATAATTTTTTTTTATTTGAGCTTAGTTTTATCCTCAAGTACTTGACGTAAAAACTGCTTGACTTGATTTACATTGTTAATATTATACTTGGCTTGTAGTGAATCCCTAATTCCACTCACCCGCCACTGCAGAAGCAACCGCAGCTGCCAAGAAAGACAGACACACTGCCGGCCCCGAAGTTGTTTTGGCCACGGACCCTGCCAGTACGTAAACTCCTAATCCTAAAGTTGCTCCTACTCCTAGCGCTGTCAGGTCAAACAGGTTCAGGCATCGCGAAAGTTGTGTGGAGCCCTCTGATTGGTCGTTCCTTTTTCTACGTTTAAGGGCTTGATATATTTTGCTCGCCATCTGAAACTACGAACAGTTGTAAGCTTGAAGCAGAATATAAGTAGATATTGAGGTACCGGAACCCCTATAATGAAGTTAAGAATATATAATAAATATATAAGGTGCGTGGCTTTCCATTCAGTTCTAGAGTTCTAAATAATTACCAAAGATGGTGAAGGTTTTTATGGACTACAAAATGCAGTACAAGTTGAACGAACATGAATTTCATCGATAAGTGTTGATATAGAATGATGCCTAGTTTTCCAGTAACATTCAATTCTTTATTAAGTAGGCTCGGCAATCGCATAACGAGGATATAAAGATTACATCATTCATGTAAACAAATGACAAGCAGTGCAATAGCTACAACCTGTCATATAGATTGTACGCCAATAATAATATGTAATGTACATCTTACTTTTTAAATTTATTTTTGAAATTAAATATTTTTTTGATTATTATTCAAGAAAAGAAAATTAATTCTATTTAGTTTTATGCCATGTAAAAGCTTACCCTTAATTCATATAGATTGTACGCCCTTAATAATATGTAATGTATATCTTACTTTTTAAATTTATTTTTGAAATAAAAAATTTTTTTGATTATTATTCAAGAAAAGAAAATTAATTCTATTTAGTTTTATGCCAGGTAAAAGCTTACCTTTAATTCACGATGGTAGAAAAAGTTGGTATAGCTATAACTAATTATATTGCTATTACTAATTATTGTGTTTATGGTTTTTTAAGGACGTCACTAATGACATATATCAATGAAAATATTAGCAGCACTAAAAATAACGAATTAGTTGATCATTTGACATGTAAACCAGATAACGTTTTCATGAAACGAATTCTAAGCGACGTAATGAAAAAAATGTGTTTAGCAAATTTGCACACACATTCCAAGCAATAAGTCATTCAAATTTTAGGTTTACTACATCTTCAAGTAACCAGAAAGTCCAAAACCTCAAAAAATTTCGTAAAATTCATGTCCCTTCGAAAAAAAATTTTGTTTTCGTTAACAAATACACTTTTAAAAAAATACAAGCCGGCCACAGTAACTGCAAATGATGAAGATTTAATTGTGCTATCAAGTCGAACCTAAGGACACCTCAAATGTCTAAATTCACTCAGCCGTTTGGGCTGGAGCCCGTGAAAAAGAAATTTCAAAGTTTGAAATCCACGATTTTGTTTTTATAAATTTTTAGTGTACCCAGTGTCATTCGCACTGTCAAGACAAATCCAGATACACCTCATATGTTAAAATCGATCAAGCCGTTTGGCATGTACCCCGTGAAATAGAATTATTTGTTTACATACATACCCACGTGCGAAAGACATAACCCTCCTTCTGAGGCAGTCGGTAGAAATAGCAACGAACACTACCGGAAATTGAAACTTGCGTAACAAAACAGTGCAAAATTAAACAAAAAGTAGCGTTCAATCGCTGCCCAGTGGTGCAGAGGAAAAAACAACTGAAAGCACATTGGCTATTGAGATAGATAATGGCTTGTAGCAAAAACCGAAAATCTGGGCATCTAAACTGGTATAGTTGTAACATAGCATTCACTTTCACAGAGCTTACCCTACATATGATAGCTTAATTCTTCGTTCCACAAGAAAAATAGTGAGAACAGATTTACAATGCTCTGGACAAATGGATTATGCATTCAGGGTGTTTCAAATTCGACCCTTACCATTGGGATCTCGAAAACTGTAAGGGGTACGAAGTCTCTTAAATAGTGGCAAAGTTGCGTATTTAGGTATTCAAAAAAAATGGCCTCTATAAGAAAATATACTAAGTACTAATATAAATCCGAACACCCAGTTTAAATGGTTTTATTTTAATAAAAGTTGGTGAATGTATTTATCTTACTGTAAATAACAAGTGAAAAAATTTTCAGCTTTATCAGTTGGAAATTCCGGTTTTTATACTGCTTTTTTTTAATTCACTAACGCTCTAAAAATGAATATTTCAGCCGCAGTAAAGAATCAACGTTGGCGGATTTTGGTTCTTGACATCCTTTACGATCGGTTACGATGCCTAGAGTACGGAGACCTGTACGATTTCGTCAACTTGTGAGTTTGATAGGGGCCGTATAGTGGGACTTCGGGAAGCTGGACTTTCTTTTCGGGCAATTGCAGTTAGAGTGCAAAGAAGTGTAGACACTGTGGTTAGGTGTTGTCAGGCATGGCTTCGAGAAGGCCGTACGCAAAGAGCAAGGGGCACTGGACGCCGCCGTAGAACAACAGACCGTGAAGATCGCCGCCTAAGATTATTGGCGTTAAGGGACCGTTTCTCCACTACCAGGTCCATTGCAAATTAATGGTTTGCAGAACACGGAAGACCTATTGGCATGCGAAGTGTTTACCGACGAATGAGAAGTTTTGGCTTGTTTTCATACCGGCCACAATGGGTCCTTCCTTTAACTCGAGAACACCGACGTAATCGCCTTGAGTGGTGCAGACAACGGTCACTCTGGGATCAGGAATGGAATAGTATTGTCTTTAGTGACGAGTCTCGATTTTGTTTAGGCATGCACGATGGTCGTGCCAGGGTTGGAAGGCGACGTGGTGAAAGGAGGAATCCACAGTTTTTTGTTGAAAGACATGTTCATCACACTGTTGGAGTTATGGTTTGGGGTGCTATAGCTGATGGTTCCAGGTCACCTTTAATCTTCATCAGAGGTAACATAAACGCGCAGCGTTATATCCACGAAGCTCTAGAACCCCATCTTTTACCCTATCTTGACACCCTGGCAGATCCAACTTTCCAACAAGATAATGCCCGACCACATGTTGCAAGAGTCACAATAGACTTCTTTCAACATAATGATGTCACATTGTTACCATGGCCACCAAGATCTCCCGACTTATCCCCAATTGAGCACGTGTGGGGTAGGAGATTGCTCAATTTGCAACGTCTTCCTCAGACTCTAGAAGCACTTCGAGAGAAGTTGGTGGTTGCCTGGAATGAGATACCACAGGAGGACATTGACCACCTGATCAGAAGCATGCCTAGGCGCGTTGGAGAATGCGTAGCACATCGGGGTGCATCCACACATTATTAAAGGTCAAAGGGCTTTAAAGCAGTGCAATTATTTTGAAATTTTTATCATTTACTTATTATGCTTCATTAAGTACAAAATTTTATTAAAATAAAACCATTTAAACTGGGTGTTCGGATTTATATGTCACTTAGTATATAAAGTTGATGACGGAGGACAATGGATGAAACGTCATATTGAAATTATAATTATACCATCTTGTACAAGAGAAAAAGTGGCATTGTTAATGTGCAATATATTTTGGAATTCCGTTACAAATAAAGTCAGGAAAAAATATAACGGTTTTGAGAAAATTCGTGTTTTTCCGTCTCTCTACAGAAAGTAATTTGAATTTTGAAAGCAGCATTTTGTTGATTGCCTAAATACTCAACTTTGCCCCTATTTAAGCTACTTCGTATTTCTTACAGTTTCCCAGATTCCAATGGTGAGAGTCGATTTTGTAACAACCTGTATATAAATCGTGCGTAGTATCTAAGGTCAACTTCTGTACGCTCTGGTATCTTTATTATTTGCCGGCTATGAAAATTCTTGAACCTGACATATAGATCGAAGAGTAGCATAAACATCAGTAAAAAAATTGCGTCAAGTAACTTAGCTCTGCCTTTCCTACGCTACGCTGTTAATAGCTATGTTATGTTTTTTGGATGTTATACGACGTGTACATCACGAAAAACCATGTCACTCATTTCCGTCGGTCTCTCTGTCTATCCGCTAATCTTATAACCGCCTATAACATGAGAAGTAGCGCTCGGATTTCGATGAAATTCTTATACAATATTACTACTATGTCAAGGACGCAAAAGCTTTGTAGTTTTTGAAAATCAGTCCAGTGGCGGCGGAGAATAAGGCCCAAAATAAAAAAGTAAAAATCGCCCAAACTTCGTACTTTGCCGTTTCACACGCTCCTGGCCATTTTTGGGAAATTTTTTGGAAGGGTTTAAAGTGGTGGGTTAGGAGGTGTAGGAGGGGGGTATATCTCAATTTTTTGACGTGTATTTGTACCTCTCCAACCATATTAATTCTTCGCACATGTTAGGCATATTTCACTCATCATACGTCCACGAACATTTACCCTTAAAATTTAGAAATATCTCCTACAGTCGTGTGTCCATACTTGCGACGTGGTTCTGGGGATGTGGTGCTGAGGGCTGCACTGTGCATGGTGAAAGCCAATCTCTCAGCTGTTTAAGTAGAAATACGCCGGAGAATGAGCTTGTGAAGAATTACTGGAGCTTATAAATATGCTGTTGCAAAAGGTTACGATATATTGTTAAAATAATGTCCACAAAATAATCGAATGGATCATAAAAAAATGGAGTCTGGGCGATTTTTGTTTTTCTCGTTTTTGGGTTTGTTTCTCCGCCGCCAATGAACCGATTCTCAAACTACAAAGCTTTTTCGTCCTTGGCATAGTAGTAACCTTGTGTGAGATCGACAGATCGACGTAAATGGGTGCCATGGTTTTTCGTGATGTATATATCATACAACATCGAAAAACATAATACCCCATTTTCGAATTTTTGGGGATACGATTTTGGCGTAAGAAGTAAAAAGCACCTCATACAGCATACCTTCAACACTTTTATAACCTTCTGTATGCAGAATGTCGCAGGATAACATATTAATCTCTCGTATGCAGGGTTTCCCAATATTCCGTAGACATAGAACTACCACGTATTTTTAGACTCAAAATAAGTCGATTGGACATGATTTACCCTATGCAAAAGTGTGTCGTTTCTCCGTTAGAGAGCATCAGTTTCCTCTTTAAAGCACATTTTTTAGGATAGCTCCAGAGCCGATAACCCGATTTGAATGAAATTTGGAACACATGTTTTGCAAGACGTTCTAATAATTGACTTTCACGAAAAATGGTTCGAAAAAGGTGAAAACCACCTGCACCCCTACATAAATTACAGAGAATTTCTTAGCTGGCGATTTTTTTTATTTTGAAGATCTGATT